GGAAACTTATGTAGTGATTCTGTTGTAGTGCAGTTCATTGAAATGAATAAATTTGAAGGTTTAGAGTGATCTCGCAGGAAAAGTTGGGTTGCTTATACAAATCACTGTGTTTTAGATGGAAAATTAGCTTAGGCCATCCATAATGGTTTTTGGGTGTCCTCCACAACCTTTCTTATGTGGTTATCTGTTACCTTGCTTGGAGATCATTCTTCAACTTTTCTTTTCCTGTTGATCCTAGATTTTTTTTTTTTTTACCCCTTTAGAAGAAGGTAAGTTCTTGTGTTGCAAAAATCCCAAACTAGGGGTATTTACATGTATAATCAGGCATACCGGGGTTCTGTACACACTGTAACTCCCTAATTTCAACATGACAAATTGGGATATTGCAGTATCACTCTTCTTAAGATATGAGGAGATCAAGCACCCTTAGCAAAATCTCAATTATTGTGAGCAGCAGCCTTTATTTTTTATGTACTTATGGACAGTGTATTGGTAGTACTATTCTTTCTTCAATAAGGTAAAACTTGAAAATTAACTGGCATTCCAGGCTAGCTAATTCTAATGACTTTAACTTGAAGTTTTACTTTTTCTCTTTCTTTTAAGGAAAGGGCCACCCGGTCATATTCTTTTTTAAAGAACTCAACTGTATTTTGAAGTGGCATTAATTAATTAGTTGTGAGTTCCCATCAAAAGAGCACGAGGCAAATTTTGAACGTTTAATGGTCATAAAAATACAGTTTAGTAGTGATGGGAGCAGCACTTATTAATGTTATGAATGCTCTGGTTTGGGAGTAGAGCAGGGTGTCATTAGTACCTCATTTATTTCTTTCTCTTGCCATCCGTATGAGTTTGATTGGTCCAGGCCACTCCCCCCACATTAACTTCCCTTTATCTCTACCATATCCATACTTCTCATATGAACCCTTCTTTTGATGTGAGACTCATTCGAACCTTCCATTTCATGGCACCAGCATTAAAGGCAGTTGTTTGGTAACGGTTGTCAATCACAAATGGGAATGGCAATGGGCTCCACAGGTAGGGGGATCCTTGGGAAAATTCTGAAAATTTTTTACGGGTACAAATTTTGCTCTCCGTCCTTGTTCCCCACATGGGAATGGGGATCCTAGTAAAGATTGCCATTCCTAGCCAATCTATATCAGAATGTAAATTTTATTTTTTTAAATATAATCAATTAATATTCAAACATAATGAACAAAGTTTTAAAAGTTTAAGTACAATTTTTTCTAAATATAAAATTAATTATAAAATTTTCAAACATAAACAAAGGTCAATTAATTTAATTTAATTAAGTTAAACTTAAATATAAGGGCCCTACAAGGCAAGAAAAATTCTTTACATAAATTTATGGGAGGAAAATACCTTTTATCTCTATTCGACAAAGAAAATTATTATTTTTTGCTTTGTCTCCTAATAAGGATCCAGAGAAATTGTCAGCCATGATCACAAAAAAGTCAACAACAACGAAAGAGTCAACAACAACGACACAAAGGTGGACGGAATTGCTCTCCCATTAGTTTTTATTGTTTTGTATTGTTTACCAATTTCATAGCAAGCTTGTAAGGGGACTATGGAGATAGAGGTGGCTACAAGTAGTAGTAATCAGAAACATGGTAGTGGTGGTGGCGATAGTTACCGTGAGAAGGCGGTGTATGGTGGTGGAGGGAGGGGTGGATACTTGGGGTGGGAGGATCTGAATGTGGTGCTGCCAAACTTTGGGAATAAACCCACCAAAAGGTTGCTTCAAGGGCTTAATGGGTTAGCTGAGCCTGGTAGGACCATGGCCATCATGGGTCCATCTGGCTCTGGCAAATCCACTCTTCTTGATTCTCTTGCAGGTATGCTTTGCTCTCTATTTCTCTGTTTGTTTTTATGATTTTTAAATTACTTGAATAAGTTCATTCTTAGTTAAAGGACATTAGATTCTGTGGAGTTTTCCTGAATCCTGATTTCCATTTCATAAACTACTGTTGGCATTTGGGATTAGTGCCTGCTCCTCAGTCCTCTCCAAGGAGAAGTACAAAATGAATTGCTTAATATAACTTTCTTCTTGTTTTGAAAGAAATAATAGTAAATAATATGGAGAGTTTTTCCTTCTTTGTCCAATAAAAATTGTAAGGAAATAGGGGTGGATAAGAAGATGGGACGTTCATGTTGACTCTCATTAATGACTACAGAAAGGGGTTAATAACAAAAAAAAATGGTTAAATGGTTCCTAACTTATCTATCTAGTGGTGGTTGTTGGTTGAAATACGGAAAATGATTCACATGTAATCTTATTCCGTAAAATCCTACATGTTAGTAATTATTTGATTGACCCATTTCACTTGGCAAAACACGTCATTTCACTTGGCAAAACACGTGAATCAATGTGCATTTACTTATTTGATGCCACTGCAGGTGCATTAGCTCAGTCTGACTGCATCTGCATGCCGGTGTTTCAGCCTTTTTATATACTAAAATGAACCCAACTTTTTTATTTCCATGGATTAAAAAAAAAAAAAATCCGGTTTGCTGTTCAGTTTTGAAAATGACGGCTAACTACGAACTTCCGACAATCAACAAGAACAAGGGAAAGGGTCTGTAGCAGGGGTGGAGGCAGAAATTTTTTTTAAGGGAGGCAAAATACTAAAATTTTCAAAGCTCAGGGGAGGTTAGATAATTTTTTATACACCAATTTACCAGATTTTCAAATTTCAGGGGGGGCGAGCGCCCCCCTCGCACCCCCCTGGCTCCGCCACTGGTCTGTAGAAAACGGCCCAGAAGACAAGGGATATCTTCTTCAATAGAAGCAATCCACTTGGCTTCTAAAGTGTAAAATTCTCCAAATAGTTTAGTAATCAATGGGAAATAGGATAGTACCAGTATTTTTGAGTTCAGACTTCAGACTTTCAAAGATGAAAGAAAGAAGTCCTTTTCTACCACTGTTTCTTATGAACTGATTGTTAGGTAGCTAGCTATTTGCTATTGGAGAGAAGATCTGCTTTTCTTGGTTGTACAGTCTCATCTTTGCAATAAACTTCACTTGTAAAGTATGTAAAAAAACCTTTGAATTTAATAATCTGATTTGATGGTGATGGAGTTAAGTGACTAAAAATAATTCTACCATCCCCTAAACTCAAGGCAAGTTCTGAAGAAAGTGAATGTTAATTTCAAGTTTTATACAAATTAAGACTAGAAAATTTATTCATATAAGTGAGTTGCTGTGTTTTTCTTTGGTATTTGCTAGTCAAAGTATCTTTTTCGGTATTAACCTCCTGGTATCCAATAACTACATTGAATCTTGACTAATTTGGAATTAAGTTGCATCGGATCCCATAAGAAAGAAAGTTCTTCCAGTACCTATTTCTCCATTTACAAGACTCAAACTCGAAATCTTATTTAATAAAGCTGAGCTTCTTCTATTTGGACCAACAAATCGTTGGTGCTAGTCCAAGTATCTAAGTTTATGCTCATTCCACTTGTTTCTTTAATTTAAAGGGAAAATAGTTATATTCTTCTTCTTCGTTTTTTTCATTTTTAAAAAGAATGGCAAAACAGTTTTGCAATGTTGTCAAATTGAGGTGTGGCTTGCTCCTATATTTCTTTTTAACGTGTTAAACTCACCTCCAGTGTTTTAAAAAAAGCCTTGATGAAGACAATCCGAGTTACAAGTACTCCCTTATTTAACTGCAACAATAACAAATCTAGTTTCAGCATGTATCTGGTGCTTCCACTTTGCAGGAATCCTTGTTAATCATGTGTCATGTTCTCTTGATTATGTAGGTATATCTATTAAAATTCATGTATGTATGATCACTCAAAATGATTCCTTGATCCTACTACAGGTAGGCTCTCCAGAAATGTGGTCATGACTGGAAATATTCTTTTGAATGGGAAGAAAAGAAGACTAGATTATGGTGTTATTGTAAGTTTTTCTCTCTTTTTTCTATAATTAGTAACATTTTTTTTTTAAATGGTATAATTAGTAACATTGAATTAGATTAATTTGAAAATTCTAGTCTGAGTTATTTATTCTGTTTCTCTGTTTTTGAAAACCCCAGGCTTATGTGACCCAAGAGGATGTGATGTTGGGAACTCTAACAGTGAGAGAAACCATAACCTACTCAGCTCATCTGAGGCTCCCAAATAACTTGACCAAATATGAAGTAAACGACATTGTCAATGGAACCATCATGTCCATGGGTCTCCAAGATTGTGCTGATACCTTGATAGGAAACTGGCATTTGAGAGGTATCAGTGGTGGGGAGAAGAAGAGACTGAGCATCGCACTTGAGATCCTCACAATGCCACAAATTTTGTTCCTCGATGAACCTACCAGTGGCCTTGACAGTGCCTCTGCCTTCTTTGTGATCCAAACTCTCAGGAACATTGCCCGTGAAGGAAGGACGGTTATCTCTTCTATTCACCAGCCTAGTAGTGAAGTGTTTGCATTATTTGATGATCTGTTCTTGCTATCTGGTGGTGAAACTGTTTATTTTGGAGAAGCAAAGATGGCAGTAGAGGTATGGTAGGCCTGACTTGATAATAAACATTATAAATCTGTAAGCTCTGACATCATTTCCATTAAACAAGTGGCTTTAACTTCTACTATCTGCAGTTCTTTGCTGAAGCTGGATTTCCATGCCCCAAAAGAAGGAATCCTTCTGATCACTTCCTGCGGTGTATAAATTCAGATTTTGACACTGTAACAGCCACACTAAAAGGTTCTCAAAGACTTCGGGTGTGTATTCCTTTTAACAAAACTCTATGTAGCACTCGAGTAGTTCTTATGCTGAAGCATGTTTTAGAAAGAGAAGAGAATTCAAGAACACTAAGACACGATTTAAGGATCTCTTTCTGGATGATCTGGATTAAATTTATTCAAATATCCCAATGTAAAATCATGTCTCAAATTTTCAATTATTCTAATTGGAGTATTAGTTATTACAGGAGGATCCAACATCATCAGATCCTTTGATGAATATGGCGACTGCACAGATAAAGATAATGCTTGTTGAAAGGTACAAGCGTTCCAAGTACGCAAAAGGGGCAAAAGCTAGGATTCAAGAACTATCCAACATTGTAAGTCAGTCAAACTTGAATGTCTTATCTTAGAGCTATCCAGAGATACTGACATGGAAATCTATGTATTGCAGAAAGGAGATGTGGAAACAGGGGGCCAAAGTGAAGCAAGATGGTTGAAGCAGCTTTCAACATTGACAAAACGATCATTTGTGAACATGAGTAGAGATGTGGGATATTACTGGGCAAGGATAGTGACATACATAGTTTTATCCATCTGTGTTGCCACTGTATTCTTTGATGTTGGCTACAGCTACACCTCTATGCTTGCCCGGGTAGCTTGCATTTCTTTTATAACAACATTTATGTCATCCATATCTATTGGAGGCTTCCCATCCTTCATTGAAGAAATGAAGGTAATCTTAATCCATTTCAAAGCATCGCAGTCATGTTGGATTTCAGTTTCTGATTCCTGATTTCTCCTTTCTTCAAAAGGTTTTCTATAAAGAAAGACTCAATGGCTACTATGGAGTTGCAGTATACATTCTATCCAACTTCTTCTCTTCGTTCCCTTTCTTGGTTGCTACTGCCCTTATCAGTGGGACCACAACATTCTTCATGGTGAAATTCAGAACAGAATTTTCACATTATGCCTTCTTCTGCGTTAATATCTTTTTGAGCATTGCTGTTGTAGAGAGTCTAATGATGGTTGTGGCTTCACTGGTTCCCAATTACTTGATGGGGATTGTCACCGGGACTGGAATTATGGTAAGAAATTCTTGATCAGCTTCTTACCTCTATGTCCATCAGCTTTGCTACCATCATTTTGATTTTTTTATTTCTGCTCTGCAGGGAATCTTACTGATGACTTCTGGATTCTTCCGACTGCTGCCTGATCTCCCAAAACCATTTTGGCGATATCCTGTTTCATACATTAATTTTGGTACTTGGGCACTTCAGGTATTTCTTTGCCTCAGATAATTTCCCTTTGGAGTAAGATAACCTGAAAAATAGGTTTATAATTATAAGTTTACCTAGCAGCAACATTCAGGTAAAAAGAAAATATTTTAATCAATTTTAAACTTAATTCATTGCTGCCATACTGGAAACTGCAGGGTGCCTACAAAAATGACTTCCTTGGTCTGGAATTTGATCCTCTCCTTCCCGGAGAACCAAAAATATCAGGAGAGTACATTGTTTCAAAGATGTTCGGGGTAACTGTATCGCGTTCCAAATGGTGGGACTTATCTGCAGTGGCACTCATTCTTGTGTGTCACCGCCTTCTCTTCTTCATCATCCTTAAGTTTAAAGAAAAAGCTTCACCATTGTTTAAGGACTTTTACGCAATGATGACTTCACATTCACAGCATCTTGAGAAAGTTCCTTCTTTCAGGGAAATAACTTCTTTTGGTTCCAAGAGGCACCAACCTCTTCATTCACTGTCCTCTCAAGAGGGTCTCGACTCTCCTCTGCAGTAGAAGCAACAATAGCAACCATGTGAAACCTTGAGTTTAAACTATGTGATTGCTGTA